AGGGGGGAGGGCCAATTCCGATTGGCCTCTCCCCTCATGGCGTCTGTGACCACCACAGTGGCTAAATGGGGGCTCTGGACGGGTGCGAGGGGCTGGTAACCCCTCCACCTTCAATAAATTACCACTAAACCACGACTAAAATATCTAACTAATAAGCTTGTGCCGGAGGCCCCGGGAGGACAGGCGTGTCTGACGTCTCCTGGCGAAACCCCAATTGGCGGAGCCAGAAGATTGAATCTTTACCCTCGGGGCTCCTCCAGAAACAACGACAAGCCACTTCGTGTGGCCACGTGGAATGTTCAAACGCTCATTGCGGAGGAGAGGCTGCCACTCCTCTATCAGGAGCTGGACTGGTACCGCCTGGATCTCTGTGGCATTCAGGAGGTCCGGTGAACCGGCTCTGGCTCCTGTCACCATGAGGGGTGGACAGTCAATTCTTGAAACACGGCAAAACGAATTCTTCTGCCGTGGCTGATCACTGTTACAACGCTGTGGGGGATCACGATATAATTTTCTCCGATACCAAGGTTCTTTGCAAACCCACGGGCTTTTATCAGAGATTTGTTCATGAAGCAATTCAGATCTACAAACACAGACACAATTTCAACCGAGAAGATGGTTTCAAATTAAGCAACCATTGGAAAGATGTTCCAAATCGAACTAAACATTAAACTAATTTCAATGGTACAGTATATTTTTTCAAGTAGCGGTACCCCAAACTTTCGCAGCTCTTATAAATTCCCTTTTCACACCATCAATAGGTAAACTCCCCCCCCCCCCGCGCCAAACGGCAAGTCCACCGGCACGTACACCACCTCTTTCCTATAATCGGCCAATCAAATGCTATTTTTATGCTAATTTCTTTGTCAGAACACCTTGTTTGCTCGCACACAGTTTAAAGGTCCGCTGTCTGAGCGTGGTTGTGTTTCGCTAAATTCTCCTGTTTGATTAGTACTAGGTGCCTCGGTGAATGTATATGCTCTGACATTAACATAGCTATTTCTGTGACCAGTTACAAGCTAATCCCTCAGCTATTTCAATGCTAAATTCTATGCTAATTCCTTTGTCAAGGGGTACCTCTGCGGATGTGTATACTTTAACTTAGCTATTTCAATGAGCCATTTCAATGCTAAATTATATGCTAATTCCTTTGTCAAGGCGCTTTGTTTTCTTCTCACACAGCTTAAAGGTCGTGATCTAAACGTGGCTTTTCTCACTCCAGCGCTGTCCTCCAGACAGTCTCGTCCCTTCACCTGATGAAGGCCGCTTGTGTTGTTGTCGAAACGTCGTGATTTTTTGTTATTTTATTTTCACCTACGTGACTTTATCCAATAGAACCAAAGAGGGTGGACAGTCCTCTACTCGGGGCAGCAGACTGCAAAACAACAGGGTGTGGCTCTTCTTTTGAACAAAAGAATGAAGGGGGCGTGGGAGCGTGGCGGTGAGGTTTGGGAAGCTGTAAGCCCCAGGCTACTTTGGGCTCGCCTTCCCATCAACCAGAGGCGAGGAATGGTGGTCGTGGTTACTTATGCCCCCACCGAAGACGAACATCCGTGCAGGGATGCAGGCAAGGCCGATGAGTCAGATGCCTTCTATGACCTCTTGTCACAGGTGCTGGCTAAAGTGGCCCCTCGGGATAGAGTCATCTTGTTGGATGACTTCAATGCCCGAGTTGGTCATGATGCTGGCACCTGGTCTGGAGTGATTGGAAGGCATGGGCCAGATCAGCTCAATAAGAACGGTAGGAGGCTGCTAGATTTTTGTGCAGCCCATAGGCTTGTAATTACCAACACGTTGTTCCGGCATCGGCGCATCCACACAACATCATGGATGCATACCGGGTCGAAGCAAGAGCATCTGCTGGACTACATAGTGACAGATCAGCGGATGCGAGTCCATGTCCTTGACACCAGGACCTACCGCGGAGCTGATCTGCCCTCTGACCCTCGACTTGTGATCTGTAAGATGCGCCTGCCATTCTTCTACTCCGGTGGTGGCTGTACACCCAGGACCCCATTCCAACCTAAAGTGGCCTGGTGTCAGCAAGCTGATGGAAGTTGCAAGCGAGAATTTCATCATCGCTTACGGCTGGGGTTGGCATCGTCCCCCACTCCTGATGTCGAGGGTAAATGGGCGAGGTTTAGGACTGTGACTCATGCAGCTGCAATGGCTGCTTTGGGTACACGGTTCAGACCTCCCCAGAGACCCTGGCTGACAGAGGAGGTGTTCAAAATGGTTGAGAAAAAGCGACAGGCCCACTGTCACCGGCTACAGAATCCCACGTCAGAGAATGAGGAGGCTTACCGCAGCCTTCGCTCGGAGGTTCGGAGAGCCGTGAGGCGCTGCAAGGATGGGTGGTGGTCGCGGGTTGCTGAGGAGATGGAGTCTGCCTCAGTGGCCCGCCATCACAAATCCCTATTTAACTCCATCAAAAAAGTAACCTGCAGCACCACACCTATTACCATCATTAGGGGAAAAAAACGGTGATCCAATCTCCGACTCCCAGGGACAGATTTGCAGATTTGCTGAGCATTTCTGTGAGATCCTGGGGAAGGGGAAATCCCTCAGCCAGGAAAACATTGTGGCACAAAGTGGGAATGACCCTGCTGAGGCTGCGGTGCCTCAAATATTGGAAGAAGAAGTCACCCCCTGTGAGTGGCTGGCTGAGGTGCCATCTGTTGAGGAAGTACTAAAGGCGATCCAGAGTCTGAGACCAGGAAAGGCACCGGGCAGAGATGATCGCCCAAGCGAAATGCTGAGGGAGGGAGGGCGGCGTTTGTGCACAGACTGCCCTACATGACATCATAACAACAGTCTGAACCACTCGACGGGTTCCGCAGATTGGAAGGATGTCCTGGTGGTCCCCCTCTTTAAGAAGGGTGACTGCACAGACTGTAACAACTACAGGGGCATCTCACTCCTCAGTGTGCAGGGAAAGGTCCTGGCAAGGATTAATTAACATAGCCTTGCTAGGCACGTTGAGGAGAGGCTTGCGGAGCCCCAATACGGTTTCAGGAGAGGGCAGTCTTGCACAGATGCCATATTTTCTGTCTGTCTGCTACAGCAGAGGTGTAGGGAATTCCAACAAGACCTGCATCTCTGCTTTATTGACTTGGTCAAGGCCTATGATACCATCAGTAGGCCTGGGCGCTGGGTTGTTCTTCGTGCTTTTGGAGTCCCTGATCCTCTGCTCACGATCATTAAGGACCTTCATGATGGTGAGCGGGCCCGGGTAAAACTACGTGGCCCGGAGTCAGAGCCATTCCCTGTAAACCTTGGGGTGCGACAGAGATGTCCTCTGGCTCCCACATTATTTAACATCTATTTTGACCATGTAGTTCGTGAAGCCTCCAATAGCTGTACCGGGGGAATTTCCATTTGGTACAGATATAATGGGCGGCTGATTGATGCCTGGGTGCGGTCAAGGGATGGCTCCCTATTGGTCAACCACGTTATGTATGCCGATGATTTGGTAATTGCTGCTCATTCAGAGGAGGAGTTGGAGACACTTCTGCTGAAACTGGAGCATGCCACTAAGAGGTGGGGCTTTACCATCAGCCCCACCAAAACTAAGCACCTGTCTGGGTATTTTGTACCATCGGACACTCCACCCCCACAACTCCCAATCGGTGATGGGGCAGTTGTGGAGAGAGTGGAGAGTTTCCCATACCTGGGCAATGTGCTCATGACCGGCTCCGGTTTGGCAGCGGAGGTCTCACTCCGAATCAGTCGAGCGGCAATATCTTTTCATCCGTTGCGTAACGCTGTGTGGAAGCTGCCTGGTCTGTCGCTCCGCACGAAGCTTCAGGTCTTCTCGGCCACGGTCATTCCTTACCTTCTGTATGCTTGCGAAACATGGACCCCCCGAATGGATCATCTTAGCTGGTTAGAAACATTTAGGCTGGCCTGCCGACGAGTCATCCTTGGTTTAACCAGACTGGATTGTGTGAGGAGCTCACATATCCTTGAAAGATCTGGGCAAAGTCCCATCGGTGAGCTCCTCCGGCAGGCAAGGCTGCATTGGCTGGGCCATGTAGCCCGTATGTCCAAACAGCTTTTGTTTCGGCCGGATCGAGGGGGCTAAACGGGTGCGGCACGGGCTAGAGAAGAGATGGAGTGACGTGGTGCAGGAGGATGTGGAGCTGATTGGACTTGCCGATGACTGGTATCAGCGGTGTCAAGATCGGCCTCTGTGGAGGAGGCTCGTGAAGGACGCTACTGGGCAGTTGGAGGCAGTTGCCCTCCAACAACAACAGAGGGCTGAGGGGCGACGCTCACAACAACGAGCGGAGCGCCGGGTGGCTAAAGCACAGCAAGTTGGCACAGGTGGTGCATTAGCCGGTCATCTTAGTCAGTCGACCTGTGGCACCTGGGTCTGCCCCGTTACCTCCTGCCCGCGGGCGTTCGACACTTCACGTGGCCTCAAGGTACACATGGCCTGGCACAAGCGTCGTAGTGACGTCACAGCCACTTAGTGGCGAATGGCGGTTGTTGTTGTGTGTGTGTGTGGGGGGGGTCCCAGCGGTCTGTTGCTTGCTAGACGGGGGGATATGTTCTCTTTGTGGGGCGTTCCGCTCACGCCCACCAACACCAGTGACGATTTTCTGAATCGGTCTCCGGATTCCCCCTAGGTCGACTCAGCCTGAAATGAGTACCTGGTGTGATGTATGGGGGGGGGGAGAGACGAAGGCGGCTGGGCCCGGTGCTGGTCAACCCCTCCCTCGTGTGCCATGCCGGCCTTCAATGGTTGCTGCTCGATCACAGAACTTGCCCCAGCAGTCTGTTAAGGCTACACGGGGGATCTTTGTCGAGCCCCCTTGACCAGGGGTGGATCGCGTGAGACGAAGTCGCCGGCTGGATTCGGCCCGTGGCCCATAGATTGTCGCCCCGCTGGTAAATCGTGCCCCGGTATCTCATGGATGTGGAGGTGGGGATGGTCGCATGGCTGAGGGTGTGGGAGGGGTGGTGGTGGTTGGGGTGGTGGTGGGCGGAGCGAGGGGGAGAGTTTAATTTAACACACACACATCGCACACCCCGTATGTAGCCACACATTAAAGATACACGCACACGCTGGCACAACAACCACCACCACCACCACCAGCCCCTCCTACTCCTCCACCGTATATATCAATGCCGACGCCGAGCGAGACAGAAGCCCCGACGGAGAGGAGGGCGCAAGCGGCCGAGCGATTGAGCTGGGTACCCACGACTCCATCTCGACTGCCTTGGTGCTCGACCCTACCCCTTCTCTCTGTTGCGCCACCACGAGCGACGAACAGAGACGCAACATCATCAGCAGCAGCAGCAACACAACAGCATCAGTAACGGCAGCAGTAACGGCAGCAGAGTGATCGGTTGAATTAGCGGAGGTAGCTGCAGCATTAGCATCGGCGACATCAGCAGCGGCAGCAGCATTACCACCATCATCATCAGCAGCAGCTGCTGCGATAGCCGCAGCCATGTCGCCGCAGAGCCGGTGGCGAGGATCGGGAGGATCCGCGGAGGGGAGCTCTGATCTGGCAGGCGACTGCGGGACTGCGAACGGAGTCGGACTGAACCCTGGCAAGCAGCGTAGTGGTGGTGGCGGTGGCGATGGAGGAGGAGGAGGAGTGGCGCTCCGGAAAGAGATCGGCCTCGTGAGCGCTTGTGGCATCATTGTGGGTACGTGTCTCCACGTGTTGTCTCCACGCGTTGTCTCCACGCGTCGTCTCCACGCGTCGTCTCCACGCGTCGTCTCCACGCGTCGTCTCCACGCGTCGTCTCCACGCGTCGTCTTCAAGTGTCGTCTCCACGTGTTGTCTTCAAGTGTTGTCTCCACGTGTCTCCACACGTCTCCTCATGTTGTCTTCAGGTGTCTCCACGCGTCTCCGAGTTGTCTCAAGCGTTTCCACGTGTCTCCACGTGTCTCCTCGTGTTGTCTTCACGTGTTGTCTCCACGTGTCTCGGCGTGTCTCCTCGTGTTGTCTTCAGGTGTCTCACTTTGTTCCCGAGTCGTCTCAAGTGTCTCGCTTTGTCAGTGGGCTAGGGCACGGACTCGCCATGGCTAATCAGGGATGATGATGATGAGGGATTAGGGTTTTGTTGGTCTTTGTGCGCCACAGCTCCGTGTACCCGAGTCTCTTGTCTCATTGCGTCTCCAGTGTCGTACTGCGTGCCCGTGTCTCACCGTGTCCCATGGTGTGTCTCGGCGTTGTCCTTCTCTCCCACCTGCATTGGTAGTGGTCTGTGGGGACAGATACAGACAGACTCACTCGTGATGCACATAGCGAGACACTGAAACACTGCCACAGGGCTGTGTCTCCGTCGAACAGCTGAGAGTTTGGGGGAGGGCAAGGGGGGTGGTGAGCGAGGGGTGGAGGGTTTTTTTGGGGGGGGGGGGTGAAACATGAACGAGTTGGGAGAAGCCACACGCGTTACACGTTCTGTTATAACGCCACTAACCCCACGGCTTCGACTGATGTGGTTCGATCTCCGGGCGCGGCATCTGTACCAATGAAGACGCGTGGAAGAAGAGAGGCCAGCGGCTATCTCCTAGAGGTGGACTGTCTCCAGCAGTGTTGTATGAATAATGTTTTTTTTGTAAACCATGTACAGAGACAAATATGTATGGTGGCGGTTTTGGAGGACGATCTTTATGCTGATCGATTCAAGCCCATTAAGGAGTCCGCGTGACCTGCCCAAATCCCAATGAATCATTAAACGGGCGAGTAGGGACACGTTACTCAGCAGTGTAACATTCGGTGAGACGCTGTCATCCTGTAATCGGACCACGAAAAGTAATGGAGACGTTACATGAAAGCAGTACGGTACATATGTACGTTGAACTTCTTTCGCACCGTACGTAGCCAACCGTGCTAATCGAAGGCGCGGGGGAACGACAACAAACTGAACACAAGAACCAGTTATCATTTGTAGTGCTCCTGTACTCGGAGCATTGAGAGTCATGTGCTTATATTACGTGCACATAGATGCGCTGACGAAGGGTCGTTTCCTGAAACGTCGCCGATTATATCTATTTATTTTCAACAAAGACAAAGATTCCCCCCACCTCCTCCTGCTGTGTAGCCTTAACAGACTGTTGGGGCAAGTGCTGTTAGTGAGCCCATATCAAGGAAGGTACACGAGGGGGTGGGTGGCCAGCACCACGCCTGACCGCCTTTGTCTCCCCGGTGGCGATGTTTACTATACACCGCACCAGGTACTCATTTGAGGCCGAGTCGACCTAGGGGAGGCTCGGGACCGGTTCATTAAATCGTCACTGCTGTTGGCGTGAGTGGGAATCGAGCCTACCTGAAAATCAAGGCCACACACACACAGCGTTGCCGTCTCACGTACAGAGTTGTATTTGGAACTCCTCATTTAATGATTGACTCTGTGTGCGCCCGCGTCCCTCCTAATTATGATTACAGATAAATTAATTAATGGGGTTCACGTGGAGGATTTGGGGACGGCGAGTTAACGGGTTAATGGTTAATGGGGGAGCTCATCCAGTCGACACGTGCACAGCAGCAAGACGAGTGACCCTTCCTACTCCACGCCTGTGCAAGATAAAGAGATGTGCATACCAGTGTGTGTTTCTATATATATACTGGTATGTGTATGAATATATACTGGTATATGAATATATATTAACTCCGTTATAACGGATGCTGCCATGGGTAGTAATCAGAATCTAAATATGTATTTATACTGGAGGAATCCGATGGGCTGTAAAGCTCTTTTTTCAGAGATGCCTAGTAGGGGCTGGTCAGAACTTAACAACAAACGATACACAATTGACAGCTGTGCAAGTTATAGGCGAGATAAATAAAACATATACAAACAAAACTTAACTATTTGATCTTACTGGATAAGGCCCACTGAGCCATCATTAGCTGCTTATTTCAGAAGTGACCTTGCTACAAATGGCAGCCTCACGAATTTATCCACCGTGTGGAAATCCACAGCAGCGAAATAATAATTTTGATAATCTAATTAATAATCGAAATAATAATCTAAATAATAATCTAATGAATACTCTAAATAATCTAGACGCATGTTTATAAATTTGGAGGGAAAAATGAAGATAATTATTGGTGCACCAGACTTTTGATCCATCCCGGTTCGATTCGATCTTCCGGCGTGGCAGTGGAAACCGCAATGGTTGCGCAATGATTTATGAAATCATTTATTTGGGTGCCACAGTGGCGAGATTTTAACTTCCTGACGATGCCCGCTCGATATTCGGAGTTTGCGTTGTCTCTCTCCCCGTGGTCGTGTGGAGTTTTCTCCGGCTCGTCTAAACACGCGCGTTTTAACAGATGATTTGTTCGCTATAAATTTCCATACGATGCGCCACTTCGTTGAGCTATCACTTGTGGTCTGGTCGCTTCTGACAAATAGCTAAATGTATAGCTCAGTGGGCCTTACCTGGTAAAATGAAAAATAATTTAAGTATTTTGATTTAAAGCTTTCGTGACAGCAGGGATTCATATTCTTGGTTCTTGCGGTAAAGGGACGTAGAAGGGAAACAATAAAATAATAAAAATATAAAAACAATAAAATTCTCACGACGTTTCAACTGCAACCGAAAGAACCAAGAATATAATTTAAGTAGTTTAGTTTGAAATGCCCCCCCCCCCTCTCACGAACCCTTCCCTCATCCCTTGCCCCCCCACCACTATGCCTGCGAGTCTCAGCACGCGAATGATCACCTCTGTTGATGATGCTCCCCAAGGCTCACGATGTACCTTCCACCCCGGCTGCCAAATCGTGGCGGGGATTAAAAGTCGCGGCTCCTTGATGACCGGCCTGCGGTGGCGGCAGCGGCGAGTGGTCGAGACTGGCAAGTCTGCACCTGGGGCCGGCGGCTCCTCCTTAACCCATGCGTTCCGTTGGTTGTGACCTAAATGGGTGACCCATTTGCCACCGAGGCTTGTGGTCTGGCCAGGAGAAGTTCCAGTGGAGTTGAGAGCGTTCGTGATTTAGCATCGCCATGACCGCAAACTTTTAGCAGCACGTCGACTTCGTCTGAACGAATCCCCACTTTATTTTTTAAAATCTGCACACCCATTGCTTTAATTATTCCCCTTGAGCTAATTGGGGCTGTTTGCTTCCCTCTCCTTTAGCCCCGGTACCTCCGAGGAGGGAGGAGGGTGGGGGGGGCCGCTATAACTCTCATAAAGTTGATCCAATATCAACGAAACTCGAGTGTAAAGCCGCGGAGGTGGAGAAAATCGGGCAGGTTGACCCAAGCGTCATTAACGCCAAACCACGAGCCGGATCCAAAACATTATAATATATGGGGACAATTTAGCAAATATGCAAACGTGTCTCTGTCACCCCTGTCTGCTTGCACGCGCACGCACGCCGCTCCTTAAAACTCTCCCGCAGACGAGTCATTAGTGTGGACTCGCGACGATGGTGCGGGACCATGCCCGGACGGACGAACGTGCCGCTACGAATCTCCCTGCGTGTTGCGCAATGTTTAGTTTCCTCCCACCCCTCCCCGTCCTCTGGTTTGGTTCGGAGCTCGCTGCGGTGGACGTTGTTGTGCCTCTCTCACCCTCCGAATCGAGCTCCTAAAAACAATCAAAACTGTTGGATTGTCTTGGGAACACTTCCGGGGGTCCTCTCTCACGAGGTCTGTGTTCCGACGTCGGGATTTGTGGTTGGATTGATGACACATTTAATGTCCGCCCCCATTGCACCGGTGATTCCGTAGGTTAGAAAGATCATGTGACTTATCCTACATCAAGCAGCAGTTCAAGGCTCTCCACTTGGTTTAGGCTCTCCGCCTGGTTGCAAGCTCTCCGCTTGGTGCTGTACTCGTTCAAGCTCTCCACCCTGGTTCAGGTTCCTCCACCTGGTTCAGGCTTCTTGAAATGTCGGAACCGGTGCCCACCTCTCACCTGTCCCCGTGAACCCCCCCCCCCCCACCCACTTTGGGAAGTTGCTAATTTCGAAATTGACATCGTCAACAGGGGGACATGAGCAGAAGCAAAAACACCACAGGCACGCAATAAATGAGAACTGGGATAAAGGTGAGGGGGCTTAATGATTAGGGCGAGGGGAAGACTGAGAAACACGCAGTCAGCAAGCGCGCAGGAAGCGGTCAGCAAACCCGAGGGGCCTCCCGCCGCAGCGGTTGAGCCACGCAGCAACTTTTGCGACCACGTGTGCTCTTGTTGTTCCTGAAGCGTTCGTTTCGAGAGATGGCAGCCGTGGATTTCGACGCGGAGAGTCACCGGTGTGATCTCCCGGCGTGGCAGATGAACCACTGAGCATGATCGCCCCCCCTCCTCCTTCCCCCCCCCACCCCGCACCGCCTCCATCCAACCGCAGTTCGTCGATCGGCAGGTCACGTGCGATGGTGGTGGGGTGAAGTGTGGGTACGCCCACCTCTTCCAAGACGTCTGTCTGGTCGGCGATGGAAGAGTAGGCCAAGAGCCACCTTGGAAGGGCGCTTTATAGAGAGGCCCTCTGGTGGAGGCGTATCCACGGGCAGTTACGGGGCTGCTGTTTTACATTCCTTAACCCGCACCTCCAATTTAGCACGGTTGGCTATGTACGGTGCGAAATAAGTTACACATTGCATATAATTGGATATTATATTGCATTGCATTCTGGTACATTGCATTGGTTTATAGTGTATTGTATGACATTGCATTATGTATTGCATTGCGTTGTACAGAAATATTGTATCGGACTGCATTGTATTACGTAGGATTGCATTACATTGTATCGCAATGTGTTTCACTGTACTGCATTTGACATCGGCTCGGGGATCTTCGTGTACCCCAAGGGCGTGATGGATACATTGTATCGCATTGTATTACATGGTATTACATCGTATTGTTATCACATAGTATCGCGTTGTATTACATGGTATTACATTGCATTGTTATCACATAGTATCACATAGTATCGCATTGTATTACATCGTATTGTTATCACATAGTATCGCGTTGTATTACATGGTATTACATTGCATTGTTATCACATAGTATCACATAGTATCGCATTGTATTACATCGTATTGTTATCACATAGTATCGCATTGTATTACATGGTATTACATCGCATTGTTATCACATAGTATCGCGTTGTATCGCACTGCATTGCAGGGAACATCATCGGCTCGGGGATCTTCGTGTCCCCCAAGGGCGTGATGGAGAACGCCGGCTCGGTGGGCCTCGCCCTCCTCGTGTGGATCATCACAGGCGTCATCACCGCCATCGGCGCCCTCTGCTACGCCGAGCTGGGGGTCACCATCCCCAAGTCCGGCGGCGACTACAGCTACGTCAAGGACATCTTCGGGGGGCTCATGGGGTGAGCAGTGAGCGGCGTGGGAGCTTGGCGGGGGGCGGGGGGGGAGGTAACGGTGGTGGGCGAGGTGCCCTGTTTGCGCGCCGTCGCTCCGCCGCTCCGCCGCCGAAGTGCTCTTGTGCAAGGGCTGCGCCCGCCGCCGCCACGCCTGCCCTGTCGGTCGCGTTGCGTGCAGCCGCCGTCCGGCGGCAACGTCACGAAGCAAATTCGCGATCCGTGGAGGGGTGGAGGGGTGGCGCCGCGGTTGGCACGCCGTGCTACGGACCCGCTAGCCCAATGCTTCTTAAACCTTCACTGCAGCCTGGCTGTGCAGCCCTTTGGTTCTCAGTCGATAAACAATAAATGTACAATGCGAATAAATGCATCGGATTTGATTGAACAAAGTGGTTGTGCTTACGTGCCCATGGATAATTAAAAAAAAAAAATCTGGCCATGTCTCGCACATCCAGAAAGGGCATCTCGCACCCCCTGGGGGTGCAACCCTTCGCTAGCCTGAGTTCGATTCCCGGCCACAACTGACTTGAGTCTTGAGTGCTATCCAAACCGATTCCCCCCCCCCACCCCCCACACTCACGCCCATCAGCTTCACCAGCCCACACTGACCAGCGTGGTGAAGTATGGTCAAACAGCCCCCCACGAGCAATACGGTAGGCCTTTATCCAGCAGTGCATTGACAAAGCGGCTGGAAGTTATAATGTTCACGCAATTATTACAAGAGTTAAACTTATTACTTTGTGTATAAAATACAGCACTAAATTGCTATGGAGCGTCTCCTAGATCGACTCGGCCTTAAATGAGTACCTCCTGCGGTGTGTGAAACATCATTTGGGGAGACAAAGGCACCAGGCGTGGTTCTGGCCACACTGCCCCTTATAAGCCGTTTTAACCTTCATAGATGTTGGTCACTAACAGCACTTGCCCTCAGCAGCCTGTGTAGGCAACACGGGGGACCTTTGTCTTTCTGTGGTTTGGGGATGGGGAGTGATGGGGCGCTAATGAACCCGGTGGCCCTGAAATCAAATTCCCACTCACGTGGAACATCAGCTGTGAGTAGCACCCTGACCCTGTTCTCTAGCCTTGTCGAGGTCAACTCAACAATGAGTGCACCGTGTGTGGTGTGTAAACCATCGACACCCGGGGGAGAGACAAAGGTGGCGGGCCACCGCCACGGTCGCCTCGTTCACGCCAGACCCGCTGCGCTTGGGACCTGTCGGCGTGAGTTCGGCTCCCGCTCGCGACCAACAACAGTGGCGTGAAATATTTGAACCCGTCCCGGGCCCTCCCCTCGGTCAACTCGGCCTTACACGAGTGCCTGGTGCGGTGTGTAAAACATCGACACGCGCTGGGGCGTGGGGGGGGGAGACAAAGGCGGCCGGGCGTGGTGCTGGCCACTCGCCGGCCTTAGTAGGTACCGCTCGCCAACAGCTGTGACAGCGGGCGTATGGAGAAGTGCAAGCTCCGAATAGAATTTTGAGAAGGGGTTAAATGAGGAAGCCGCGGATTAGAGAACGCACCACACCAGATTAGGGAACGCACCACACCAGGTTAGAGAACTCACCACACCAGGTTAGGGAACGCACCACACCAGGTTAGAGAACGCACCACACCAGATTAGAGAACGCACCACACCAGCTTAGAGAACGCCCCACACCAGGTTAGAGAACTCACCACACCAGGTTAGAGAACTCACCACACCAGGTTAGGGAACGCACCACACCAGGTTAGAGAACTCACCACACCAGGTTAGAGAACGCACCACACCAGGTTAGGGAACGCACCACACCAGGTTAGGGAACGCACCACACCAGGTTAGGGAACGCACCACACCAGATTAGAGAACGCACCACACCAGGTTAGGGAACGCAACACACCAGGTTAGAGAACTCACCACACCAGGTTAGAGAACTCACCACACCAGGTTAGGGAACGCACCACACCAGGTTAGAGAACGCACCACACCAGGTTAGAGAACGCACCACACCAGGTTAGAGAACTCACCACACCAGGTTAGAGAACTCGCCACACCAGGTTAGAGAACTCACCACACCAGGTTAGAGAACTCACCACACCAGGTTAGGGAACGCACCACACCAGGTTAGAGAACGCACCACACCAGGTTAGAGAACGCACCACACCAGGTTAGAGAACGCACCACACCAGGTTTGGGAACGCACCACACGATGCGTTGCTCGCAGACGCGAGCGTCGCGTGTTATGCGATGCTGCGTTGAACTTCTTTGGCACCGTGCGTAGCCAACTGTGCTGATCGGAGGTGCGGGGAATTCCTCGCGATTACACGACATCCAAGTCGTTTAACTCACTGACTCCTGTGAAAAAGAGTTTCAAAGTTAATCGGATTCCTCCCTCCAGGCTCAATAAAGATTCTGATTAACACGTGAGGCTTTGGCGACCAAAATCGTCCAAAATAGAGGTTTTTTTGGGTTCGATCGCGTAAATATATAAATGTGTCGTTAAACTTCGTACTCGGATTGTAAAAGTTGTGGCTTGGCACTGCAACACACCGGTGTGCTGTAGTAGCGACGAATTGGCACGTTCTGTTTACGTGACAAACCTTACGAGTTGGCTGTGTCGGGTGGTGGCGTGTTTAACGGCACATTTATATATTTACGTGATCTAACCCCAAAATAACTTCCGTTATGGAAGATTCTGCTTTTGGCGGGTGGGCGAGCGGATGGCTGGAGGGTGGTGAGCAGACGATGTGGACGAGCGTCACCATCCCCGTGTCACCATCTCCTCGTTGTCACCATCTCCTCGTTGTCACCATCCCCTCGGTGTCACCATCCCCGTGTCACCATCCCCTCGCTGTCACCATCCCCTCGTTGTCACGATCGTCATCTTGGCCGTTTGCTGCAGATTCCTGCGCCTGTGGATCGCGCTGCTCGTGATCTACCCCACCAACCAGGCCGTGATCGCCCTCACATTCTCCAACTACGTGCTGCAGCCGCTCTTCCCCACGTGCCTCGCGCCCGACTCTGCCCTGCGCCTCCTGGCCGCGATCTGCCTCCGTGAGTCTTCGGTTTTCGTTCACGAGGGGGTGGGGGGACGTCCTTTGGATGTCCGACTGCCGAGCTGTCGATGCTTCGGGGGTTTGCATTGCCCTTGTACTGGCACAAATGGGATCCTTCGATATATCAGAATATGTATTTATTCTGGAGGAATCCGACGAGCTGTGAAGCTCTTTTTCACCGATGACGAGTACTATAACTGCTGAACCAGAGTTATCAATGCTTTGGCATTTGCGTCGTCCTTGTAGCGTTTCGCCTTTTGGCGGCCCTGTTGGTCTCCGGCACCGGTGAGACCAAGCCATGCACAAGGCTGTCCTCTGGTGTAGGCCAAAGCATACAATATCAGGAGCATATTTTACTTGCATATTTTTACCACACGTATGTGTGCTTAATGCAGGCTGGATGTCTTATTTGGTGTTTGAACATCTTGACACCCTCCTGGATTTATGCCAGACAGGGTAAGATGCCATTGTTTTATGACATTGAATACGTGGTGTGGTGTGTGTGTGAAAGCATCATAACTGTGGAGACGTGCACTGTGCTGGCCTGCATAGGTGCCCACTAACGGCACTCGCCCGAACAGTCTGTGTAGGCTACACGGGAGACCTTTGTCTTGTGTATGTGCACAGGTGGTTAGCGCACCGCACTACCAACCCGAGGCGACCCGAGGTCGAATCCCGCTCACAATAAACGGTGGCGAATATTTGAACCTGTCCCTGGGCTCCCATCGGGCTTTAAAATTATTACTTTAGTGTGGTGTGTTAAACATCGGCGCTGGGGAGAGACAAAGGCGGCCGGGCAGTAGTGGTGCTGACCACCCACCCCCATCACAATGCTCTCTGGGGGCCTTTGTCTTTGTGTTGGTGGCTAGGTGTGTGTTTGGGGAGCGGTGGCGTAGCGCTAACCGCTGCGCCACCGCTCCCCAAACAAAGACAAAGATCCCCCGTATAGCCTTAACAGACTGTAGGGGCAAGTGCTGTTAGCGAGCACCTATGAAAGCCGGAACTGTCCACGAGGGGGTGGGTGGATAGCACCACGCCCGACCGCCTTTGTATTCCCAGTGGCGATGTTTACACACCGCACCAGGTACTCATTTGAGGCTGAGTAGACCTAGGGGAGGCCCAGAACCGGTTCAGTGTGTAAACATCGATAAAGGCGGTCGGGTGTCGTTGCTAGCCACCCACCCCCTCGTGCAACCGTTTCGGCCTTCGTCGGTGCTCGTCAACAGCACTTGCCCCAACAGCACTTGCCCCAACAGCACTTGCCCCAACAGCACTTGCCCCAACAGCACTTGCCCCAACAGCACTTGCCCCAACAGCACTTGCCCCAACAGCACTTGCCCCAACAGTCTGTCACGGCTATGCGTGGGATCTTTGTCTCTTGTCTTTGTTCACGGATTAGAACGTTTGTTTTTTAATTGCGTGCAGGCACCGTTCGTCCTCCACCTGCTGCTGTTCTCTGACCATAAGCGTCTACGCTCACCTCGCTGCGTCGTGACTCTGTTTACGTATTTAGGAGTAGGCTCCACCCAACACCCACCCACCCCCTGAAAGATCCTCAACCCCCCCTCCCCCGTTCTCCCTCCTCGGCAACCAGCTGAAACCAGCTGTCAGACCCCCCCCCCTCTCCTCGCAGCCATATCTCAGCTGTTGCCGAGTCGGCGATAACTCCAGACTCCTTGTTTTTCAGCTGAAAAATTGCGCTGTCACGGTCGGGGGGAGGAGGAGGGGGGTCTGCAAGGAAAATGTTTCCTCTGTACATCGGTTCGTTTCTGCCAGCTTGCATCCCGCCCAGGCGACGGGAATGTTAAATGGGGAGCCGCTACAGCGCATCGATTCACCCACCCCCCCGTGGCATGTGAGACGCGAACGACGACTCCGACTTGCGAACGTACCAACCGCATGGCGGCATGAGTCGCAGCGTCGTTCAGCATTTAACGCACCGCCCCCCCCCCCCCCCCCCCGGTTTATCAGTTAAAAAGTTAAAGGCGCAGCCCCGCAATTGCCTGCTCACGCCACTGCTGGCGGAAGAGGCGAGGTGGTATTTTGTCTCCTCTTTCGGGCCGGCCCAGACGTCTTGGGGGAGACGTCTTGGGGGAGACGGCGTTGTACCCACATCTCTACTCCCACCGCAGTTGACCCGCGTCAAGGGTTTCCCATAGAGCTGGGCCCTCCCGGGGGAGAAGGTGGTGCAGAGAGGTTGGGGACTGATTTCAATCTGTTCCTTCTGGGCTCTCTCCCGGCTGCTCCCGTTTCCCCTGCACGTGTGCGCACACTCATGAATTGGCTGTAAACATCTTAATATGTCGAGGAGCGCGGAGATTGGGCAGGTTATTGGTAGCACCAGTTCGTTCCCTTGCAGCAGCTGCTGACTTCACTGCTTGCACCCCCCCCCCCGCATCTCCCATTATCACGGTTAGCTACGTACGGTGCGAAAGAAGTTCTACACACGTACCGTGTTGCACTGTAAACATGACTGAAACGTTCCCTTATTTAGAAAACTCCCGCTATGATTACATTTCGTCCTGGGACACGGAACTGATCGTAGCTATCATGATAACGACTCCTACGACCGCGCCGAGCGATGTAAACTCTCTCCGCCTGGCTCGCCAGCCCCAGCGTGGTGACTATTGTCATGGGTGTTCGGTCGACTGGGGGAGCGGGGAGGAGAGCTGTGGGGCGTGGGGGGGAGACGGATTGCATGGGACCCGATGTCTTAAGGGGAAGGAGGCGGGGGTCCTTGCCTGCAAGATCTGGCCACAGCCTGGCTCCACTTGATAAGGCGACTTATAATTAGTAACAAGAGCCGGACCGTGAGGTGCTGCACAAAATGAGAATCTGTTTGCGCAATCCTCAAGCAAACAACCCATCCCCGCCGCCGTAACACCCCACAGCCCACCAACACAAAGACAAAGATCCCCGGGGTAGCCTCGAACTGACGCTTGGGGCAAGTGCTGTTAGCGAGCAGCACCTATGAAGGCCGGCACGGCACACGAGTGGGTGGGTGGCCAGCACCACGCCTGGCCGCCTTTGTATCCCTAGTGGCGATGTTTACACATCGCACCAGATACTCATTTGAGGCCGAGTCGACCGAGGGGAGGCCCAAGACCGGTTCAGATAATCGTTGCTGGTGTTGGCCGTGAGCGGGAATCGAACCCGTGTTGCCGAGTTAGTAGCGCAGCGCGCTAAACGCGTAAACACATACCTTGGTCACGTAATCACACTTACACCCACAAAAACACACTTAAGCACGCATATCCATAAAGACAACATGCACACACGCCCATAAACAAAATTACATACGCACTCAACTACACATACATACACATCGGGTCACAAACAGCAGTAACAATAAAACACCCACTCCCCACTTCCCCCTCCAACACAACCAGTTGTTATGGCAGAGCCTGAGACTCTGCAGCTCGTAGTGACACCCAGAGATAACTTCTGATTGGCTGAGCCTTCTGGATAGCAGAGCTTCTACTGGGCACTGAATGTTCTTGAGTGAGTGCGTGTGTGTCTGTGTGTGTGTTGTTGTGTGTCTCTGTGTGTCTGTGCGGGGAGCGGTAGTGTAGCGGGGAGCGGTAGTGTAGCGGGGAGCGGTAGTGTAGCGGTTAGCGGTAGTGTAGCGGTTAGCGGTAGTGTAGCGGTTAGCGGTAGTGTAGCGGTTAGCGGTAGTGTAGCGGTTAGCGGTAGTGTAGCGGTTAGCGGTAGTGTAGCGGTTAGCGGTAGTGTAGCGGTTAGCGCGCTGCGCTACGAACCCGGCGACACGGGTTCGATTCCCGCTCACGGCCAACACCAGTGACGATTATCTGAACCGGTCTCGGGCCTCCCCTAGGTCGACTCAACCTCAAATGAGTACCTGGTGCAGTGTGTAAACATCGCCACTGGGGAGACAAAGGCGGCCGCGCGTGGTGCTGACCACCCACCCTCTCGTGTGCCGTGTCGGCCTTCATAGGTGCTCACTAACAGCACTTGCCCCAACTGTCTGGGACAGGCTACACGGCGAGTGTTTGTCTTTGTGTGTTGGGCACTGTGTGGTTTGTACAAGGCAGTCCAGCCATGTGTTTATCTACGGCTTGTGCATCACCCTATACTAAGTATGTAAGTACGGACGTTCGTGTGTGTGTGCAGCATGTGTATGTTTGTTGAATTGCTTTCTCACCCTACGTGGCTAACCGTGTTTATCAGAGATGCGGGGGACGGATAACAAACTGAACACAAAAAGCATTTCTAGAGAGATGAGTTTTCAATCTAGATGCATGTGCGTGTGTGTGCATTCCCATCGGTGAGCTCCTCATGTGACATGCCCAGCCACCGCTTGCCCAAGTAGCTTTTGTTTGGCCGGATAGAGAGGGCTTAACGGGCGCGGCACGGGTTCGAGAAGAAATTGATGCGGTACAGGAGGATGTGGAGTTGAGTGGACTTGCCGATGACTGGTACCAGCGGTGTCAAGAGGAGGCTCGTGAAGGACGCAGCTACTGCTACTGGGCAGTTGGAGGCAGTCGCCCTCCAACAACAACAAAGCACAGAGGAGCGACACTCACAACAACGAGCGGAGCGCCGGGCGGTTAAAACACAGAGTTGGCACAGTAGGGGGTACAGGTGGTGCATCTGCTAGTTCGAATCCAGTTCGCGGCCAAGACCAGTGAAGATTATCAGAATCGGTCCTGGGCATCCCCTAGGTCGACTCGGCCTCAAATGAATACCCGGTGCAGTGTATAAACATCGTCACTGGGGAGACAAAAGCGGCCAGGCGTGGTGTTGGCCACCCACTCTCTCGTGTGCCATCCTGGCCTTCATAGGTGCTCGCTAACAGCACTTGCCCCAATAGTCTGTTAAAGCTATACGGGGCTTTGTCTTTGTAAGTGTGGGGAGCGGTGGCACAGTGGTTAGCTGCGATGCGCTACGAACCCGCCGACCCGAGTTCGATTCCCGCTCACGGCCACCCAATAACAGCGACGATTATCAGGCTCCACGGGACGGGTTTAGAACGTGGCC